CCCTGACCTGGAATGGTGGCCCTGACCTGGAATGGTGGCCCTGACCTGGAATGGTGGCCCTGGAATGGTGTCCCTGACCTGGAATGGTGTCCCTGGAATGGTGTCCCTGGAATGGTGTCCCTGGAATGGTGTCCCTAAACCGGGAATGGTGTCCCTGACCTGGAATGGTGGCCCTGAACCTGGAATGGTGGCCCTGAACCTGGAATGGTGTCCCTGAACCTGGAATGGTGTCCCTGACCTGGAATGGTGTCCCTGACCTGGAATGGTGTCCCTGACCTGGAATGGTGGCCCTGACCTGGAATGGTGTCCCTGGAATGGTGTCCCTGGAATGGTGTCCCTGACCTGGAATGGTGACCCTGAACCTGGAATGGTGTCCCTGGAATGGTGTCCCTGACCTGTTGGAATTCTCTGGAACGCTGTCCCACCCCACCAGAATTCCCAAGAACATTGTCCCACCCCACCAGGATTCCCAAGAACATTGTCCCACCCCACCAGAATTCCCAAGAACATTGTCCCACCCCACCAGGATTCCCAAGAACATTGTCCCACCCCACCAGAATTCCCAAGAACGTTGTCCCACCCCACCAGGATTCCCGGGATCGCCGTCCCCGTGCCGGACCTGTTGGTGTCGCGGGCCACGTCCTCGTAGACGCTCTGCACGCCGATCTCCAGGCGCGTGCAGCCGTAGCCCAGCATGGCGCTGAGGTGGGGCCGCAGGCAATAGTCCGGCCGCGTCTCGATGGTCATCCCCACGCAGCGGGTGCGGCTCCGCTCCGCGTACCTGAGGAGAAAAATTCACATTTTGGGTCAAAATCCACCAGTTTTGGGGTTTTGGTGGAAACGATGGTCCAGCCACCAGGAGAAATCCCATTAAAATCCACCAATTTTGGGGTTTTTTTGGTGCAACCAATGGTGTGGCCAAGCGTCGATGGTCATCCCCACGCAGCGGCTCCCCTCCGCATACCTGCCCCAAAAAAATATTCACATTTTGGGTCAAAATCCACCAGTTTTGGGGTTTTGGTGCAGGCAATGGTCAGGCCACCAGGAAAATTCACATTTTTGGTCAAAATCCACCAGTTTTGGGGTTTTGGTGCAGGCAATGGTCAGGCCACCAGGAAAATTCACATTTTTGGTTGAAATCCACCAGTTTTGGGTTTTTGGCGCAAGCAATGGTCCGGCCACCAGAAAAATTCCCATTTTTGCTTAAAATCCACCAGTTTAGGGTGTTTTTGGTACAGGCAATGGTTTGGCCACCAGGAAAATTCACATTTTTGTTAAAATCCACCAATTTTGGGTTTTTTGGTACAGGCAATGATCCAGCCACCAGGAAGAATTCACATTTTTGGTTAAAATCCCCAAGTTTGGGTTTTTGGTACAGGCAACGATCCAGCCACCAGGAAAAATTCCCATTTTTGGTTAAAATGCACCAATTTTGTGTTTTTGGTAAAGGCAATGGTTTGGCCACCGAGAAAAATTCACATTTTTGCTTAAAATCCCCAAGTTTTGGGTTTTAAGTGAATTACAGAAGAGTTCCTGGTGCCCTCCAGGTGAGGATTTTTAAGGATTAAAGGTTAAAATTTAATATTTTCCACCTCTCCTGCATGGAAAAATCCCATTTTTGGTTAAAATCCACCCATTTTGGGATTTAAGTGAATTACAGAAGAGTTCCTGGTGTCCTCCAGGTGAGGATTTTTAAGGATTAAAGTTTAAAATTTAACCTTTTTTGGTTTTTTCTGGATTTTTTCCTCCTTTTGTGCCCTTTTAATTACATAAATTTCAAGCAAGAAAAGGAGAAACTTTTTTTGGAAAGGTGGAAAAATCCCAAAGTGGATTTTTTAATGGGAATACCAATTTTTTTAATGGGCAAAAATGATGATTTTTATGATTTTTGGGACGCCTTGAGGAAGAAAAAGATGATTAAGTTCAGCTCCTCATTAAAAAACAATTAAAATCCTGTCAAAATTCATCACTGCTGGAAATAAAACTCTCAGAGCAGAACAAAGAATACAATTTTTCAAACTTCAAAAATAAATAAAAAAATCCCAATTATAATCCTTCAAACTTCAAAAAAAAAAACCGCCAAAAAAATAAAAATTAACGGAGCGGGTTCAGACTCATTAAAAAATAAAAACACCCTTCAAATCTATGGAAAAATCAAAATATTTTGGGGACAGGCTGTCGAAAGAAGGATTATAAATTAAAATTAAATGAGAATAAAATGTCAGGGAAACATTTCCAAGTTTGTGGTTCACTAATCAGAAATGAATTTGATCGCGTCAGGGAAACGACGGCAGAGAGAGCTGCAAAAATGAACAGAAAAAAAGGGGAAAAAACGGTTAAAAAAGCAGAAAAAAATATAATTTAGGTAATTTGGGATAAAGTCCTGTTAACAGCAAAAATTAGAGTGGAAAGAGAGAAAGGAGATTAAAATAATTGATAGATATGAGCGGAAAAGAAACCCTAAAATTAATTTATTTTTGTTAATTTTTCAGTATTTTTATCCCATTTTAACCCCCAGGAACGGCGCTGCCACCCAAAAATTCATTAAAAAAAATCAAAATATGAATTAAAGTGGCTCAGTTAAATCACATTTCAGGCTTAAATAATTCTGAGGTAAAGAAATCCTAAAATTAATTTATTTTCTTTAATTTTTTAATACTCTTATCCCATTTTAACCCCCAGGAACGGCGCTGCCACCCAAAAATTCATTAAAAAAAAATCAAAATATGAATTAAAGTGGCTCAGTTAAATCACATTTCAGGCCTAAATAATTCTGAGGTAAAGAAATCCTAAAATTAATTAATTTTATTTTATTTTTCAATATTTTTATATCATTTTAACCCCCAGCAATGGCGCTGCCATCCAAAAATTCATTAAAAAAAATCAAAATATGAATTCAAGTGGCTCAGTTAAATCACATTTCGGGCTTAAATAATTCTGAGGTAAAGAAATCCTAAAATTAATTAATTTTCTTTAATTTTTTAATATTTTTATCACATTTTAACCCCCAGGAACGGCGCTGCCACCCAAAAATTCATTTAAAAAAAAATCAAAATATGAATTAAAGTGGCTCAGTTAAATCACATTTCAGGCTTAAATAATTCTGAGGTAAAGAAATCCTAAAATTAATTAATTTTATTTTATTTTTCAATATTTTTATATCATTTTAACCCCCAGCAATGGCGCTGCCATCCAAAAATTCATTAAAAAAAATCAAAATATGAATTCAAGTGGCTCAGTTAAATCACATTTCGGGCTTAAATAATTCTGAGGTAAAGAAATCCTAAAATTAATTAATTTTCTTTAATTTTTTAATACTCTTATCACATTTTAACCCCCAGGAACGGCGCTGCCACCCAAAAATTCATTAAAAAAAAATCAAAATATGAATTAAAGTGGCTCAGTTAAATCACATTTCAGGCCTAAATAATTCTGAGGTAAAGAAATCCTAAAATTAATTAATTTTATTTTATTTTTCAATATTTTTATATCATTTTAACCCCCAGGAACGGCGCTGCCACCCAAAAATTCATTAAAAAAAATCAAAATATGAATTAAAGTGGCTCAGTTAAATCACATTTCGGGCCTGACCCAAGCAGGATGTTTGCATGGGCTAATTAACCTCATTTGCATGGACTAATTAACGGCGTTGGCAGGCACTAATTAAGCGCCTGGCCGTAACGAGGAGCGGAACAGAGGGAAAAGTGATTTTTGTTTTATTTTTATTTCCCTTCCCACTGTGGGCAAGGTCTGGAGGGATCCCGACGCTCAATTTGATCATGAAAAATTTATAGAATTAAAAATGTTCTAACAATGATCCATTCTAAAATTTTATAATTATTATTAATTTCAAAATTTTATACTTAGAATGAATTCTGAAATGGTATCATTCTAAAATGTCTATAATTATAATTTTAGATATAATTTCTATAATTTATATCATTATATAGTATATATAAATATATAAATATAATAAATATTATAAATATAATAAATATTATAAATATAATAAATATTAAAAATGTATATAAATGTATAAAATATTATAAATAGATCATATATTTATATTTCTTATATAATATAAAAATTTTATATAAATTTTAATATAGTTTTTATAATGATAAAATTTTGTAATTATTTTCCCCCAAAATTCATCATCGCTGCCTGCTCCCAGGCAGGTCCCGTCTTAGCAAAATAACCAAAAAATCCCAAAATAATTTAAAAAAAAAAAACAAATAAAAGCATTTGTTTTCTCAGCTCCCATCCCTTACATTCACAACAAATGCAATTTAAAGCAAAATTTTTATATTTTTACAAAAAAAACAAATTATTCGCCAGCCGTAACTGCAAACACCCGGATTAATTAATAAATGCCGGAGTGAAATATTCCCAATATTTGCCAATTTTCCAAGGAAAATTCCTGCCTGGAACAGGAGATCTGTTGCCACCGATTTTTATTTAATTTTACCAACCTACGTAAAAAAAAAATAAATGTTTAGAGGGGAAAAAAAAAAAACCCAAACAAGACGAATTTTGGAAAATTTAGGCAAATTTAGGCAAAGTTTGGGAATTGAGATTTCCTTCTTTTCTCAAAAATGCCAAAAAAGGAATTCTACAGCAGAAAATAAGAGAAAAAATGGGTTTGGATATTGGGGGTCCAGGTGATCACGGAGCCCTTTTATCCATCCAAATATTAAAATATTCAAAATATAAATAAATAACAAATAAATATTCATCATTTTGGTCCATCCCATTCCCAAATCCACTCCGGGTCTTCTAAGT